AGCCGGCCCCGTGGTACGCCGGCCAGAACCCATGGACCGGCGTTGTGCACGCCTACTCCATGCTGGTTCCCCGGGCCCCTGCCCCGAGCATTCTCGGCGGCCGGCCACCGTCACACCAGGCATTCTATGCTGCGATGCAGCCCTATGCGGCGACCTACGCGGCGCCCTACGGCTAGCAGCCGCAGCCAGGTGGGCTGCCGCTGCTGCCCCTGACGGCTCCGCACCAGCCTCTCCCGCCGGCGCCATGGGACCCGGCCCTTCTGGCGGCTCATCACACCGCCCCTTCCCCGTCCAGCTACACCGGCGGCGGCGACTGGTACATGGACACCGGAGCCACCGCTCACATGGCGGCTTATCCCAGTAACCTCCACACCTCCTATCCTGTCCATACTTCCAACCGCATCACCGTCAGTGACGGCTCTTCTCTTCCTATCACTCACATAGGTCATGCATATTTTCCGTCTAACTCCACTCCAATATCCATGTCTAATGTCTTAGTTTCTCCTGAACTTATTAAAAATCTTGTTTCTGTTCGTTCTCTTACATGTGAAAATCCTGTTACCATTGAATTTGACGAATGTGGTTTTTTTGTTAAGGACGCTCGCACGCGGATGGTGCTCCACCGATGTGACAGCCCCAACGAGCTCTACCCGGTTCACTCCGCCACCTCCACCACTTCCGCCGCCCCTGTCGCTCTCGCCACCGAAGTGGATCTTTGGCACGCTCGCTTGGGTCATCCTAATCCTGCCACCCTTCGCCATATACTTCGGAGTTTTTCTTTCACGTGTAATAAGAACGAGGATCACTCGTGTCATGCATGTCACCTCGGCAAACATGCTCGTCTCCCATTTAGGGATTCTTCTCATGTTGCATCCTACCCGTTTGAGTTAATTCATAGTGATGTTTGGACCTGTCCTGTTGCCAGTAATACGGGCTTTCTTTATTATCTTGACATACTTGATGATTTATCACATTATGTGTGGACCTTCCCGTTGCGCCGCAAGTCGGATGTTATATCCACTCTCGCCGCCTTCTACTCCTATGTTCTCACGCAGTTTGGTCGTCCCATTCTCGCGTTGCAGACAGATAACGGGAAGGAGTTCGACAACCTCGCTCTTCATACTCTCCTCACCACACATGGCACGACTTTTCGTCTCACTT